CTTGCTGAACGGCATGGCCTATGGCCTATGTATAGGATACCAATGATGTGGGGAGATAAGCAAATAGTTATCAAAAAATGTTGCTCACTTTTTTCGCCATCAGCATATAACGACATGGAAGGATTGTGACAGGATATAGATAGATAGATAGATAGATAGATACATCCATAACGACAAGAGACAGCAGTACCAAAAGAGCTGAGGAGACAGAATCACAACGTAGTACTGTACATGCACAATGATTCTTTAGCCTCCCTACGTGGGAGAGGGCATGGAGAGGTTCCGTAAGGAGGTGGTGTATTACTAAAATCTCTATCCACATCTATATGTTTATTGATATGGTATGGTCGAAAAATAGACACCTACACAACAGATGGACCAACAGCCTTGAATAAGAAGAAAGATAGAGGAGGTAAAGGAAATAAATCATTTGTTTAGCATTTGCCTATCGTCAAGCGCGGTTTTTCAACTTGCGCAAAAGTGATAAAGATGATCCAAAGTCACCTTGAGGATGTAAGGTATGAAGAAAAAGAGAAGAAATAAAAATCGTGTACAACAAAAGACCAATACAATCTTGATTTAATCACATCGTTAAGGGCAAAGACAAAAGTCAGCTCTCACAATGCTCTACAGTACAGGACACCCGGACGAAGTGCAGAGATCCAATAATAAAAGGTAATTCCAAAAAAAAAAAAAAAAAAAAAAGAAAAAAAGAAAAAAATTAAAAAAAATTAAAAAGAAAGAAAAAGGCCCAAAAGCAGAAAGGCTAATAACAGCACAAGGCAAACCATGAACAGACAAGGCCATAGAGGATATATAATATAAAAGCAGCGCAAAGAAAAACAAAAAGCGATTGCAAACTGAAACGGGTGCGATTCGTCGTTAGGATAAGGGGAAAAAAAAAAGTCCATTTCCGTCCATTATCCATCGTCCGTCATTTGATATACCTTCATTCCAGATTCGACGGCTAACGCCAACTATACAATCCAGCCTTTCAACCTACAACCCCCCGCCTTTAATCTCCGTCCGGCCCACTCCCCACGCTTTCCCCCGAACCAATCCCCAATCTCCACAGTCCCAGCCATTGAATCCGCCCATTTTCCATCTCCCTTTTCCACCTCCCCACATCGCCCTTGTAAGCTTCTCCCGTCTCCCGCCTCCCGCCTCCCTCCTCCCTTAAACCCCCAAGCCCCGACCCCTGGTCCTCGTCTCAATCGCCGCTCCTGGCATATTCCCATCAACCATCACATTCCGCGCGTCAGGATAGTACGTGCTACTCGTCATCGGTGTGGTATCTTCATCTGTATTTCTATCGGCAGCTGGACCCGCAGCTGGACCGCGGTGTCTGCCCGACGTCGTCGTTGTGGTCACTGTAGAATGATTGCTATTGGTATTATCGTCGGGGAAGGGCGAGCTGTATGTATCCGCGAAGGGGTTCTCGACCTGGAATTCGCTGGAGTTGTACTGGTAGGAAGAGGAGGTGAATTCGTCGTTGTTGTTGTGGAGTGCGTGACTGGTTAGGGCTGTGGTGCGGGAGGGGTTGGTCAAGCTGTTATTACGGTTTAGGTTATTTGAGAGGGGGAATGAAGGTGGGGTGATAGCTAGTGGGGAGACAGCGGATTGGAGGGGTGGGCTTTGCGAAGTCGAGGTCGAGGTCGGGGTCGGGTTTGGGTTTGGGTTTGAAGGTGGTGGGGGTTTTTTCCGAAGGGAGGTTCGGTGGGGAGAATGTGCCCAGGTGTTTGTGGGTGCGGGGAGGGTCTTGGGAGGGTTTCCCTAGGTACTGCGGGCTTGTTCATCCAACGGAAATTTGCCTCAACGCTTTTGCCGCCGGGATGGAGAGGGAGAGGGGACGGAAGCGCTTAGACCCGCCGCTTTGAAACTTCGAAAGTTCTGCGGGAGCCCCGCCCGAGCCTGATAAAGAAGGCTGTTGTTGTGGTGCTGCCCAACGGTGGCAAAGCAGGGGGAAACCGCTTCTTGAGAATCTGTTCTACTGGCGTTCCCTTCTGGCAAACGACCGCAGCACGCTGGTATTTCGAGAAACGCGGCGGAGAGTCTATCATTTGTCTCTATTAGAGTGAGCATCGTATCTTCGTCCGGCGAGGGATTCGTCGCGTTTATGTATCCCTGGATAGATTTGGCGGCAGCTTGGCACCGTGCGGAGAATTCCTTTAGGAGGTCATTCGTGTAGAATTCCGCTGTTGGCGTCGACTGCACGAACTGGAGAAGCAAAGACGCAGAGATGTTTGCTTCTGTTATCCTGGCGGAGAGCTCTTCGGGTGAGGGTAGGCCGCTAGATCGATGCGAGCGCGCAAAGTAATCATCCCGTTGTCCCGGAATAAGTGGCTGAACCCATGGTCCCTATTAACTTGCCATTAGTACCAATGGTGCAATTCGTTGTACTTTCTGCATTGGGTACTTTCTGCATTGGGCCCTCGAGGAAGGCGGGGAGAAGGAAAAAAGTGCGGAGATATTTATATCCTTACAGCGCTAACACCCATAGCCTTCTCAAACTTCAGCTTCTCCTTCTTCCACATTTCCACCAGCGGTGCCACATTCGTGTCATGACTTTTTTGTACGGCGAGAAACTCAAGCGTCTCTCGCAGGATCTGCTGTACGCTCATATCCCGCCCTTCGCGTAACAAATTTTTAGTTATCGATACGAATTTGCCATCGAAGTTGCGCGTGAAAGTCGTGCCGGGGTTGTCAGACAGGATGCGGATGAGCATGATGGCATTGTACTGCTTGTAGCCCTTTTTGCTAGCTGGGTTGGAAAGTACTCGACTGATAGTGTCCGCAGCGGCCTTCGCCGCAGCAGGGCTTGATTCCGCCGCTTCGACGATGGCTGGTAAGTGTAGGTATTCATCTCCCTAATTGGTGTGGAAAAAAATATGAGAAATACTGTTGTTAGCCGCGCGGAGGCAGAACAATCGATAAGAAATGGCTGGAGGTGACAAAAAGGGAGTGGGGACAATTTAAGGGGGGGAGGGAAGGGGCATCGGCATACTGTATTGTTTGGGCCTCCGGATTCGCAGAAGGAAGTCTGTCGTATTATTATTATTAGTGGATGTTTCTCTTATTTTGTATTTTGGTTTTTGATATCCGGTTTTCCATGTGACAATAGAGTACGTACAAGCTCAGCCAATATGATAGCTTCTGGAGAGTCTGGTGGGTGGGAGGAAGCGCGAAACGCGGATTGAGCTGAACGAAAAAGTAGTTGCAAAGGCGTCAGTGTGGATCCCCATGGTGAATATGAACTCCGGCCCGACTAGATGATGTGCTAGATAAAGGATTTGTCCTCTAGAGATGGATGGGAGGTGTGCGCCGGGATGGTAGGTATACCTCACGGGGTATGTTTATTTATAGAAGCTCACCAAACTCGGCTTCATGGGCTGAATGGTGATGGCTTGGGTTCGCCGGGAACCCTTTCTGGCCGATGAGTTTATTGTAGCTAAGAAAGAACGAAGATACTGGGACTAAATTTAATCAAGAGGCGAACGAACTGGGCACCCATTTCAAAAC